GTCGGTCAGTCTGATCTTTGTGTCGGTCAGTCTGATCTCTGCGTCGGTCAGTCTGATCTCTGTGTCAGTCAGTCTGATCTCTGTGTCAGTCAGTCTGATCTTTGTGTCGGTCAGTCTGATCTTTGTGTTGGTCAGTCTGATCTCTGTATCTGCCAGTCTGATTTTATTGTCATCAGTCTGATCTCTGTGTCAGTAATGTAAATTCATTCAATACAATTTTATGTAAATGGATAATAATCAGAATTTGGCATTATGCAGCGCCAAAACAATCCGCTCCCTTTGATCCAATATAGTCCACCGTCGGCCACCTCTAAATGCCTAACTCTACCCCCACCCAGTCCTGCTCGAACTGCTATTGGAGAGTCTCTGTTCCAGAACTTTCAGCAGAGCAAGTAATTGGCAGTTCTTTCAGTGGCTTTGGCCACGTCTAAAGAAAGAAAGCGATGTGGAGCTCAGACAGGGGTTTATACGGCAGAGCGAGGAGTCAGCGTGAGGCCGATTCACTGCCAAACCCCAACTCTGTGGATTCATCCATTCAGCTTCCGGTGCTTTCACTAAAACCGCCAGCACAGCCTAGAATAAACGCACCGGGGAAGTGTTTCCACTGGCCGGCTCATGTGCTGTTTATGTGGAGAGCAGACTGCTTTCTCACATCTCTAAAGCCTGGCTGAAGCAGAGCTGTATGGATTGAGTTTTCAGTGGGCATGGGATGATAACCGGTTTCACGGTTTACCATGGTTTGGAAAAGTCAAGGTTTTAAAACTGCTAAAATGTTGTGTTATATCTTTCCTATGGTATTTTAAAGGTTTTTATTTATTTATTTATTTAGTTTTATTTAGTTTTTTTTTAGCTCAACAATAAGTATTCCCATCAGAAAAGCAGCCTCCATATTAAAAGCTACTGGTCAGCTCACGATTCAGCAAACATCTGAAAAATATACACCAACATTCAAGCATGCTGTAGAGCTGAACAGTGCAGTGGCTTTACTTTATATCCCTAGAAAAGAAAGATGTCTTTTCAAGTAGTCAACAAATTTACGACCATGCCTACTGTCGCAAGGGGGTGTTAGGGGCCTTAAGAATCTAACCAAGGATCTGAGGCCCGTCTACACTTGTGCGTTTTAGTTTTAAAACGGCGTTTTAGATCAAAACCGATCCGTGTCCACACTAGTGTTTCACCTAGCGTTTCTGAACATATCTCCATCCACACTACGCCACCAAAACCATGTATCAGGTGACCATTCGACCACTCTGGGCATGCCCATTCTAGTATAAAGCTGCAGTCCTATTAGAGTTTGATAATGCGATATTCTGTCATGCGGCGCTGTGAAAAGGGGCAGGATTAAACAAGCCTTTTAGACATTTAAAAAAGCGAGTGATTGCTGCATATTTTAAATTTCTGTCCAGAGAGCTCGTGTTTTGATCCTTGATTGGTCTCACGCAGTCAAGTGATGCGATTTTGCAGGTCAGAGTTCACCAAGCTTGAACTTTGCACTGCAGCAACTTGCAAAACTTGACGCATGACCTTGCATTTCCGGTCTGACGCATTCGTGTGCGTATGAATGGAAGTCTATGGGGAGAAAAGCCCA